ATGTATTGAGTTTGTTGGAGAGCCATAGCAGTAGAGTATCGACTAATGAATCATAAGCCATGCTGAGGGCGGTCTCCAGTGGAATACTAAAAACATCTCCCTTTGCCTGTCTTTTTCAACATTTACAATTTAGATGAAGATGTAGAAGGTGAGTTTCTCGAATCTGTGGCTGATACAAGGATGAGAAGGAGAAATTATAAGGAGGATTACAGAATCTCCATTCAAAAAAATTTTTTTTGTCCATATGGAATAATGGATCCATCTCTAAAGGATAAGAATACTATCCTATTGGGAGCTCTTTGGACCAGTAAAGAAATCAGATTACTTTAAATTATGTATATTTAGGGAAGCCCACTATAATATTTATTATCTAAATCAAAGCCCATGTGGTGTAAGCCCTGACCTTTTTTTTTCTTTTTTGTAATGCAAGTGCCTGATTTAAGATTTGATTGCTGAGTCATCCACTTCAAAGACAGCTATCTGAAATACACACCTTGCTAGCCACAGGACTAGGAAAAGACCTAAGCCACTTACTAAGGCTCTTTTGTTCTAGAGATCTTGGTTGATTTTAATAACTGACCATGTGTGCTGCTCGTTTTCTCTTTTCCTGTATTTCAAATCTCTGCTCTTGTTTTAAATTCACCAATAAAGGGTGAGACTGAGAAACCCTATGCCCCCATCCTCAACCCAGATAAAAGCAGAACCTAAGGCCCAGTTCCTTGGGCTGGCGATTCTGTCTCTCTCTGTCTCTCTCTGTCTCTCTCTCTGTCTCTCTCTCTGTCTCTCTCTGTCTCTGTCTCTCTGTCTCTGTCTCTCTGTCTCTGTCTCTCTGTCTTTGTCCCTGTCTCTCTCTGTCTCTCTCTTTCTCTCTGTCTCTCTCTTTCTCTCTCTCTCTCTCTCTTTTCTCTCTCGTGACCTCACTGTGTGGCCCCAGGTGTGCTGTGTAATTTTCAGTTCCTGTTATTAAACTTGTATCTTTTCAAAGTTTCCTGGTGATTATTGCTATAAAGGTGTCTTACAATCATAATAAAAACCACAAGGGCTAGTCTAGCCACAGCCACAACATTGGTTATTGATAGGCTGAGACTGGCATGAAACAACCCACCACATGTCATTCTGAAGGTAGCATCATATAACATTTTTGTCTGGTACAAGGCCATATCTACTCTCTGTAAGTGGAATGAGCTCTGGTACCCTTCGTCCATTCCTACTGACAAATGCATTTGAATGTTCTTGATTCAGGGCAGGCAAATTTGCTAAATAAATTAAACCCCCCATGATGGACTTGAAAAGTTTTGAGATTTCAAAGTTATGGAAACATATTTAATGGAGCAAGGTATCCTCCACTGAAACTACCTTTTAAAAAATTATCTTATTATTTTTTAATTATAGTTGACATACAATATTATATTAATTTGAGGTGTACAGCACAGTGATTAGACAATTATATAATTTATGAAGTCGTCATCTCAATATATCTAGTACCCATCTGATTCCATACATAGTTATTACAATACTGACTATATTTTCCATTCTATACTCTATAATGATTTTGTAACTACCAATTTGTATCTCTTAATCCTCTCCCTTTTTAACCCATTCCCCACTTCCCAAACTGACAACCATCAAAATCTTTTCTGTATCTATGAGCTTGTTTCTGTTGTTTGTTTATCCTGTTTTCTAGATTCTACATATGATACTTGTCTTTCTCTGACTTATTCCACTCAGCACAATACTCTCTAAGATCTATGTTGTTGCAGATGGCAAGATTTCATTCTATTTATGGCTTAGTAATATTCCATTGTATGTATGTATCACCTCTTCTTTATTCGTTCATCCACTGATGGACACCCAGGTGGCCTTCATATCTTGGCTATTGTAACTAATGCTGCAATGGACATATGAATTTACATCAAAGTAGTGTTTTGTGTTTCTGCAAATAAATATTCAGAAGCGGGATTACTGGGTCCTTGTCTGCTGTTATAGTCTTTGTTTTAAAGTCTATTTTGTCTTCTTTAAGAATTGCTACCCCAGCTTTTTTTTTGTTTCCATTTTCATGAAACATCTTTTTTTATTCTTTTTCTTTCAGTCTATATGTGTCTTTCGAACTGAAGTGAGTCTCTAATAGGCAGCATATGTAAGGGTCTTGTTTTCTTACTCATTTAGCTACCATTTGCCTTTTGATTGGATCAATTAATACATTGACATTAAAGTAATTGTTGATAGATATTTAGTTATTGCCAATTTATTATGTATATTTTTATCTTTTTATCTTTTTTCTTCTTAGAAAAGTTCCTCCAACATTTCCTGTAATACTGGCTTGGTGGTGATGAACTCCTTTAGCTTTCTCTTGTCTGGGAAGCTCTTTATCTGTCCTTCAATTCTAAATAATAGCTTTGCTGGGTAGACTAACCTTGGTTGTAGATCCTTTATTTCATCACTTCGAATATTTCTTGCCAATCCCTTCTGGCCTGTAAATTTTCTGTTGAGAAATCAGCAGACAGTCTTATGGGAGCTCCATTGTAGGTAACTAACTGCTTTTCATTTGCTCTCTTAAGATTCTCTTTTGTCTTTAACCTTTGGCATGTTCATCATGATGTGTATTGGTGTAGGCCTCTTTGGGTTCATCTTACTTGGGACAACACTCTCTGTGTTTCCTGGGCTTGTATGTCTATTTTCTCCACTAGCTTAGGGGAATTTTTAGTCATTATTTCTTTAAAAAGGTTTTTAATTCCTTCCTCTCTCTCTTCTCCTTCTGGCACCTCTATGATGTAACTGTTGGTATACTTGTTGTTGTCTCAGAGGCCCCTTAAACTATCCTCGTTTTTTAAAAATTCTCTTTTCTTCTGTTCTAATTGAGTGTTTTCTACTACTTTATCTTCTAAATCACTGATTTAATCCTCTGCTTCATCTAACCTACTGTTAATTACTCCTAAGGTATTCTTTATTTCAGTTATTGTAGTCTTCATTTCCGACTGGTTCTTTTTTGTGTTTTCTATTTCCATTTTTATGCTTCCTATCTCTTTGTTAAAGTTCTCATGGACTTAATCTACTTTTCCCCTAAGTTCACTGAACATCCTTATAACAGGTGTTTTGAACTCTATATCTGGTAAATTACTTGTCTACATTTTATTTAGTTCTTTTTCTGGAGCTTTGTTCTGTTCTTTCATTTGGGACATGTTTTTTGTCTTCCCATTTTGGCTGCCTCTCTGTGTTTGTTTCTATGTATTAGAAACAAATGCTATGTCTCCTGGTCTTAGCAGAGTGGCCTTATGTAGTAAGCGTGCTATGGAGCCCAATGGCACAGCCTTCCCTGGTTACCTGAGCCGGATGCTCTAAATACGTCCTCTGTATATGTTGTGTGAGCCCTTCTGTTGTAGTTGAGCCTTGGTTGCTGTTTGTTTGTCAATGGGAGGGATTGACCCTTAGGCTGATTGGTTTTGATGACTAGCCATGACCAGTGAAGGAGCTGTTGTGCTGGGGCTGACCCTACAGATCAGGATTCACCTTAGCAGGGCTCTTGTACCTGCCCTGTCTGCCCTTTGTATGTCTTGTCTTTAGATGTGTCCCCAGGTAGTACTCAGGTTCAGATTGAAGCTGGCCACCAGATGTGCAGGCCGGGACCTCCAGGGAGGGGCCTGCCACAGGCTAAGTTCAACTGCAGCCTGTACCCTGCCCAGGGCCACCTGGCATGAGCCACCAAGCAATCTGCAGATGGCCACCACCTGGATTGGGTTTGGAAGTGCCTCAAGAGGCCAAACTGCAATCTGAGGTCAGCGGCTGCTAGTGCTGGGTTTGGGGCTGCTCAGCAAGAAGTACGGGGCATGTTTAGGTTTTGTAAATCTTTGAGAGATTTTAGGAAGCCTGCAGTATAACCCAAGACAGGTCATTTGTATGGAAACTTCACTGGAAGTAGAAGTGGGCATGAAAGTTGGGAAGGGTGAGGTCTCAGGGACTAACCCAGGCCAGGTGACCAGTGTTTGCTATGTTGCCTGAGACTCAGATATGGCAGCCACTTGGGTCTGCAAGCTGTGGGGGGTAGGGTTTAATAAACAACAATGCCACTGCCAGCACTTCTGTCTAGGAGAAAGCTGCCCCTCCAGCCCTCACTCTGAAATCAGAAAACTCAGTTCTTCCCTGTATATCTCCTTCAAAACACTTTCCCAACACTGAAATTCAGAGCAAATGAGTCCACGAGTTGGTAAGTTCATGCGGGCCCCTTTAAGAAGAGCACCTGGGACTCCCTCAGCCCTCTGTCTCACTCATCCATAATCTCTGCTGGTTTTCACAACCAGAAGTTGTGAGGACCTCTATTCCCAGCACTTGGGATGGGGAGCCCAGTCTGGTGCCAGGACCCCTTGCTCTTCTAAGAAGATCTCTGCAGCTGATATATTTCTCCCAATTCTCCACTGCCACATGAGGGGGTGGGACCAGCCCATTTCATACCTCTGGCCCTCCTATCAGTCTCAAAGTGGCCTCTTCTGTGTGTCCCCAGTTGTAGGATTCTGTTCAGCTAAATTTTAGGTAACTCCCAATAATGGCCATTATGCAGTTTATTTGTAATTTCGATGTGGTTGTAAGAGGAGGCAGGCACAAGATTTACCAACTCTGCCATCTTGACCAGAACTCTGAAACTATCTTTTATATAAGAAAGAAGGAGAAAAAAAAGAAAATACATATGTATCTGCTTGTTAGTAGAAAAAGAAACATAGAAACACAGATCAGAAATTAATAAGATTGGTTACCTACAGCAGGTAGGTGGAAAACTGAGTGGAAAATATGGGGGAATAAAAACAGGGTAGA